CCGTTGATTTTCAGAATCTCTCCCAGCTGCATCAATCAACTATGATCTCACTAAGGGATTGAAAGATGACCCACCTCCAAATTCTAGTGCATAAAACAATTATCGTATCTAGCAACTCCCAGACAATAGTTTTGACAAGATGTGACAATTTGAAGGGGCACACGGACCTTTGTTTTTTGTATACCTTGTACATGTAGGCTTCTGCAATGTCCTTGTATTCATGATGTCTATTCAAAATTTCTTTTGCTGATCTAATTTCTGTTTCTTGATTTGCAGAGTTCTCAAAAAGGGTTAGGTAAAAAAAAAAAAAAAAAACGCAAGGGAAAAGAAGCTAAAACTGGTTCAGGATGAGCCATTTATTTATCAGGTCAAAGGTTAACACTCGGGTTTCAATCTTTTTGTTGTGTTGTGAACTAATTGAGTGCTGTAAATGCTTGAAAATGCATACCACAATGTGGGGCGCTTGCATTGTTCTGTGGTGTTAACTTTCCTGCTTTCTCAATACCACAGCAATAAGAGCATTTCACTCCCCTTTTCTTCATGTGGATATGATGCTTATTTCATTTAAAAAATGATTTATATTTTGATGATGTCAAACTAAGGTGTATGTAGGTTCAGGAGAGTAGAGTAAAGGAAGATTAAGTCAAGGCCATTTTTTTGGGACTTAGCACATACCACCTCTGAGCCTAAATATAAGAGTTAGTTACTAGTTTTTATATTTAGGGGGGTGTTTGGATGAAACAAAACCATGGTTTGAAAATAGCTTCTAAAGAATAGATTTGGGGAGAATAGATCTTGTGAAAAAAGTGATTTTGAAAAGTAAGAGTATTTGGATAGTTGTGATCAGAAGTACTTTTTATATATACAAATTACTTAAAAAAACATAAGTTAATATGATAATTACATAAAAGATAAATTTATGATATATTTTAATTTGAAGAAATAAAATTGTTAATATATATTTTTACCAACATAATAATACAAAAGATAATGTAATTAATAAATAATTAATATATGTATATATATTTATAAGATATAGATTAATATGTTTATAAAAAAATATTGAGGGATATTAAAGTCAATATTGTTGAGATTTACTCTAACAGGTACAATCATACTCTTAATTTAAGTCAGAAGCAGGATGAAGTTATTCTTCTGAAACTATGGTTTTGGCTCAACCATGGTTTCGGATTATTGGCTCAAAATTGATGCTGTTTGGGTGACACTTCACCAAATCATGGTTTTGTCTCCCAAACCATAGTTTAGGAGGGCACTCAAACAAACCCTTAGAGGACTAGAGGTAATACTTGATTTCTTCCAAAAGGGGGGAAAAAAAATTCTGAGCATGCTATGTAATTTTGCTCAATCTCTCTCTCTCTCTGGGGGGGACAGTTATATTTGTTGGAAAAAAGAATAATAAGACTGTTGCAATTGGAGGAAGTAATGCGAATTACTCCTATTTTTTTTAATCATAAGAAATGACTAAATTTTTTTTTTGTAAAGTAAAACGTATTCCTTTAATTATATTTTTTTTTTGTAAGTAAAACTTCATTACAGAAAAATAATAAATAGCATATATTTAATAGGGTAACATAGAAGGACAAGTTAAATTTCTAGAAAAGAGAATTGTCTTTTTATATTTAAGTGTGTTATTATGAGATTATTTTTTATAAAAAAATGAAGGGAATATTATTAGAAAGTTACATATTCACCAAAAGGTTCGATGCGTTGCGCAACATTGAGAGGAAGTAATAGCTGATGGGTGATGAGTGCTACAATTTTTGACCATATTTATCATTAGTTATCAAATCAGGCTTTTAAGTATAAAAGGAAATGCTTAAATTACTGCTTTGCCGGGGAAAATGTAACATTTTATGAACAGATAAAAGGAGTCGCTATTGAAGTCCAATAACAGCCACAAAAAAAGAGACAATAAATTTCAACGTTAAAAAATCCTATTAGTTACTCAGAAGGCTCCAATATTTGTGTTTGTGTAAAATCTGTACGTGTCCTACAAAAGGCGTCTCCAATTGGTGAAAGAAGATACGTAATAAGACAGCAACATCGCCAGGAGACAGACCCAACATCACTGTCTTGTTCATTCGTTTCCAACCTCATTCTAATTCACATCACAACAATTTAAACAGAAAAGAACAGCAGGCTTCGGTCCAGAAAGCAACAAAATATGAACATGAAGCATAAGTTGGTCCACTACATCAGAAACCTCACTTTCAACTTCCAAAACCTGCCACTCCCCTATACTTGTTTACATTCGGTCTAACATAAAGTCATTCATAATTATAATAGCCATAACTACTGAGAAGTTTTATTTCTAGTGACTGTCACTTCCCATGATGTTTGAAATTTAAAATCATATCCAGAAAGGATAAGAATTAAGAAGGCAGTTGCTTAATCTTTTGGCTTTATAACCCAATAACGAAACTACTTTATATTGGGACCCATAATGGGGCTGACCACCTTATAATTTGCAGTTCATAAGTCTTATCAGACATTATTTTAATGAGCATGATTTTTACAGGGAAAAAAATTGTACAGATAGAACTTGTATTCTAGAGTTGTTTGTTAGATTAAACTTCATGAACGCCGTTTCAAATGAGCTTTTCAAGGCATAGTTAGCATAAGAACTTCTTGCTCTTAATTTTGTTTCATGTTTACAGGTAGTTTCAGATGGATAAATCTAATCTATTACAGCTAAATATTTAAATGATATTATAAACAAATACCATCAAATCCGTTTTATCATTTGATGGACTTCTAAAATTTGCAATAACGCTCTTCATAGGCCACAGCTGAGATTGACCTGTGAAGAGCCTGATGAATTATTATCAGTTCTTTTATGATTGGGGTAGCAAATAAATATGCCTCTAACAAGGTGAGGTTCATGTCATGCCCATAGGCTTTTTTTTCTTCTTTCTTTCTTCCTTTTTTTTTTCTTTTGTGAAACGCCCATAGGCATTTTTGGTAACAGATAAAGGGGTGTGATAATACGTGCCACCGACAAGGAAAAAAGTTTCAGCTTTCAACAAAGCAAAAGCCAATGTTAAAGCAAGGAAGAGTAATAATTACATCAACCAGAATCCACCAACAATGACTAATGGAACAGACACCCACCCGTCAAGCTATTCATTGAGATAGAAATTGGGGGGAAGAAATAGTAAATGAAGATACTGTAAGGGAAAGGGGAAAAAAAGATGAAAAATAAAAGCTGGGTGCTGGGAAAATTTGAGGACCGAGCTAAAAGAATACAGCATAAGCACAGGAAAACAAGGGCTTTTTTGTGTACCAAGAGAGAACAAAGATGATATGATCTGTTTTTAGCGTAGCCATCATCGAGAAGATATGTCATCTACATTATATTGATCAGATCAGGTTGCTGAACTTGGTCTTGATCCTCTTTCAAGCTTGAGCGACGTAGCTCTTCTATGCGTTGTCTCACCTCAGACATTGAAGGGCGCTTATCAGGATATTGAGCTGCACAATCAACTGCAAGCTGCAATAGTTGAACCATCTCCTCCTCAACATTCTGATACCTTAGGAGCTCAAGATCAAACACTTCAGAAGTCCATTCTTCTCTAACAACAGATTGAACCCATCTAGGGAGGTCTACTCCTTCCTCATTTAAGAGAGAATGTGTTGGAGCCTTTCCAGTCAGAAGTTCCAACAGCAACACTCCAAAGCTGTAGACATCCGCCTTCTGAGAAACTCTGCGAGGATCAGTAACTTCTGGCGCACGGTAGCCGGCGACCCGATTGGGAGTGGAGGAGGGTCCAACAAGATGTGCCAGGCCAAAATCAGACACTCTGGCATCACAGGATGTGGTGAGGAGGATGTTGGATGATTTTATGTTTCCATGAGAAACATTAGGTCCCCGTGAATGTAGGTACTCGATGCCCTGAGCAGCTCCTAGTGCAATTCCTGATCTGATTTCCCAATTCAATGGTGTCCTACCCGCCCCTTTGTTGCCTGTTTCATGTTTTTCACATACTTGTCACAATGAAGTCTTTGGGATGTAAAGCTGATTAAACAAAATAGAGCCATAACAAGTAACTTATGTAAAGCTGATTAAACAAAATAGAGCCATAACAAGTAACTTCTATGATAATGTAGATCTTTATCAGCCAAGCCACCACGTTGTTTGCTGCTAACGGATGGAACAAGATGATGTGGAATGGCATGAATATGTATATAATACTCAAAGCCATATAGATCTATGAGGAAGCAAATGAAGCGAACTCCAAATAGGATGCATAGAAAAACTCATTTCCCGAAGGATATCACATGCTCAGCCCACCTTTGAAAGATTCAACGAAGTCAACAGTTAGGCACTAATAACAATTATGCATATTCCCCAGAATAGAAGATGGGCATAATAACCAAAAACAGTGCAAATTGTTGAATTCATCTTCGAAGAATAGATGGTGCTCTCAAAATCTACTAAAAAGCCGAAATCAATTATCAGTAGATCTTAAATAGATTGAAAATTCTGACCGTGCAAAAGTGCAGATAAGCTTCCTGTTGGCATGTAATCATAGACGAGAAGTTTCTCATCCCTGCTGAAATAATAAGCTCTGAGAGGGACCAATTTCTCATGATCCATTGCTCCCACCAATTCAATCTTCTCCTTGAATTCCTTTTCAGAAATTGTCACGTCCTTCAACCTCTTCACAGCCACCACCGGACCAGATTCCAGAACCGCCTTATATGCTGTTCCAAATGTTCCTTTACCCAGAACCTCCGCCGAAGCTCTAAGCAAATCTTCCAGATCGAACACCTTCGGTGAATTACCAAAGAATGACAACTTCTTCACACCGTCATTGCTGTTCGATTCTGTTCTGCCGTTTCCTGTCATGGCTGCTGCAGCCACTGCAGCTACCGAATACCCATTACTGTGACCATTGTTCTCCACATCTGGAACGGGTTTGTCGCCTGGAATTTCCGTTTCTGGATGCTTCATAGTTGCAATGTCGACGGAGCTCGACTTCTTATTACTCTTCTTTCGGCAAAGGAGAATCAAAGCGAACACAATCAACAGGAGCAACACCACAGATCCAACGACTATTCCGGCGATGGCCCCACCAGACAATTTCTTCTTCTTCCCTCCGTTATTGCTGTTTTCAATCTCGCCGGACGGAGATATTGCGGCTCCTTCTCCTGGACAAAGCTTGAGGGGCTTCCCACATAGTGAATTCCCTAGAAATGAATCTTCAGAAAATGACTGTAACTTCACCGGTACCGAGCCGTTTAACAAATTGTTTGACACATTGAACTGCTCGAGATTTTCCAGGTTCAACCCGGGAATAGAACCTGAAAGCTGATTATTCTCTAGATATAGAGTCCTCAGCCTTGCTAACTTGTTGAAGTCCAGTGGAATCGCACCGGAAAAATTGTTGTGCGCTAAATTAAGGCGAATCATGTCGGGTAAAGAGAACAAGAATGCAGGGATTTCTCCAGAGAACAAGTTTCGCTGCAAGTAAAGATTCCGTAGGTGGACACAAGAAGCGAGATCTGAAGGGAGTTTTCCAGTCAAAGCGTTGAAACGCAGACTGAGAGTCTGGAGATGAGTGAGGTTACCAAAA